TAGTAAAAGTCACATCCCATGAGTATAAATTAATTCATGATTATCAGTTTTAAAATATTGCGTGAATTATAATTGTGCATATATATATATATATATATGAGGAGGGATCCATTTATTTTAGGAGTAAGTCTGCTTAAACTTACTCCGATCAATAACTCATGTTTTACATCAAATTTTAATGATCTAACTGTTGAATTTAAAGTTTTTAATGCATAAATCAAGTCTGCAAATTTTTAAAAATTTTAAAAATTATTTAATACTTCATTTCATTAATTCAAATTGACGGATAATTATAAAATTATTTTATACATTGATTTGAATTAATGAAACAAAGTATCAAATGATTTTCAAACTCTTAAAAAATTTGCAGACTTGACCTACGCATTAAGAACTTTAAATTTAACGATTGGATCATTGAAATTTGATGTAGAAAATGACTTATTGAATGAAGTAAGTCTAGATAGATTTACTTCTAGATATTTTATTCTAAAACTTTCCGTTAAAACATATAAAAATAAATATTTTATTCTAAAAATTAAATAATTAAAGAATTAGATTAAAATATGTATTTCATATTTTTAACGTAATTACATATTAATGAATGCTACATTAAGATTTCATTACTAATTACTAATTATATAAATTTATTTATTATTAATATTTTTTTTATTTAAAATTCAAATAAAAATTTAGTTTAAAAAACTGGCAGCATAAGAAAACTTTTTGCAAAATTAAGAATAAAACATGATGTAATATTAATAACAAAAATTTTGATAGAAAATATGTAAATATTTTTTAATATGATTTATTACTAATGACTACTCCATGTAGAATTCAAATAACAATATGATAGAATAAATATATAAAGGAGACAAATTTTTGAGACTACATTTTGTAAAACTTTTTTTTCAGGACTATTCGATTGGTCTTTGTTATAAAAATAATTTTATTATACATTTCAGACTGTAGACAAAAATGATGACCCGAAACACAAGATTATAATTCTAAATTAGTTTACGATGGCTGCAGTCAAGGCCGAGTTAACTTGTACAATTAACATTTAAAAAATTTATATTCTACATTTATAAGCGTCTTGATCTATTGGACAATACAGATTTTTTTATTATTTGTTTTTAGGGCGACAATTAATACCGAATAAGTGAATGACTTATTTTCAACATTCCACTCTTTTCGGGTCCGATCGAACTCATTAATTAACTATATAATTAACCAGATCGATCGACAAAGAAACGGACTCTTGTATGAATTATTCAATTATTAGGTAGTTATATTATTTGTAAAATATTTTTATCATCCCATTAATTTGCCAAGAAAACATTTAGGAGAATCGAATTATTTTTTAATCATTGAGATACAACAAAGTCTCACATCAAGAATTCATTAGTAATAAATCTTTTGAATGATAATTAAAAATAAAATTATGAGAACTTAAGTTTAAAGTGAAGAATATTTTATCAATGTAAAGATGTGTGTGTGAGAACTTCTTAATACACAATAAATGAAATTAGAGTCATTGATTCAACTAAATAACTGACTAAGCAATTATGATGGTTGGTAGATGGATTCGGGTATACGATTCATTATATAAAAAAATTTATTAATGATAAGTTCATATATAGAGAGAATCTTCTTAGTAATATAGAAAGTTAAAAAGTGTGTCTTGTTATATCGTGAGTTGATGATAAAATGACAATACAAATACTTATAATGTGATTGAACTCTATGACTCATTATTGGATATACTTGTAAACTAATTAGATTCTGCTATAAAGAATGATTAAACCATGGTCCTTTATTCGAAGAAAAATTGTTGGGATACAAATAAAGTCCTGCATAACTTGAACAAAGGATAGTCAACACAAGTTTATAAATATATGTAATTGTCTTTATTGATAAAGAGATCTTTTGAGTAATATATTAATGACCTAAAGCAAAATCATAAAGACTTAAGTATAAAGTAGACAATATCTTGTCAGTGTGAAAACATGTGTATATGAAAACTCGTTGATACAAAATACTAACTCATTAAAAATATGTGATAGGACCAATAAAAGTTGTTTACAATATTCTTAACCCTTATTTTTTTTAAATATTAAATATGTTTTTAGTTCATGCAAAATGAATGTTTTAATTATGGTCCTTATAAAAAAATTTCTTTGATTTTTTATCTCTTTATATTTTGGAACTATTGTTTTAGTTCTTACTATTATATAAAGTATATATGGATACAAGTTAGAAATATTTTTAAGAGATTTTCTATTAAAAATAAAGAATATCTTTAATAGATAATATCTTAAAAACACTTCTAAGCATGTATTAAAATAAACTCATAATTCTTTTTAATTATTTTTATGTTTATTAGAAAGTTATGTGATCATTTTAAGTAATACACACAACTATTTTTGATATTTTATGTGTGTCACACATCTAAATTTTTTATACATCCTTAAAATAAGTGTTATGTATATACCTTATTGTTTACCAAGGATAAGAATAGGGACTTTAAATTTTAGTGGAATAAAAATTAAAGAAAAATAATTTTACAATGAACAAAATAAATTACTCATTTTACATGGATTAAAAACAATGTTTATAAATTTTAAAAAGATGAAAAACTCTTTTTATTTTACAGAAATCAAAATATATAATAATAAAAATGCTCATTTTACAAAAATTAAAAATATATTTAAATTTTTTAATTTTATATTTGAAAAATTATAAGAACATCCGGAAAACTCTAAAGTCTAAATCATTAGTTTGAGAGTAGTTGACGCAGTTTTGAGTTTTCTGTTCAAACTATTGGTAGTCTTGTTTCGTAAGATCGAGTGTGATTGATTTTTACTTGTATGGAGTGTTTTAATTTGCTTCTTATTCTGTGATGGACAATGAGTCAATTACGTCGTTCAAAACTTCAAAGAGAACATCATAGTTAATACTATAAGAATGGCTTTTGTCAAACCTTGCAAGCAACAAAAAAATGTATTCTGTCAAACCAGGTGTCATTGCAAACGTGAGTGAAATAAATTTTCACAAAAGCATATTTTTGGATGTCACTGAAGTACACATGCTGCATAATTAAGGACATAAAACGTGTGTAGAACCGTCCATGTGCCAACCAGATATATTTTGTTGATAGAAAATTGGCACCTTCTTATTGGTTTCTAAAGTTTTAAAATTGCTTGGATACAATACAAGTCTAAATTAAGAAAAGTGTCTTGAATGACCGCAATGTAATAGTTTTCACATTTCAACCCTTGACCTTTAATTAATTCCCAGTTTCTTTTTTAATGTTCACGCCCTGTGGCTGTCTATAAATATAGTAGCACGTAGCTTTTAATGTATTAATTCTTTCCAGCATTATTCCACATATATACAATTACATCAAATATCCATAGGAAATCACCCTGCATATATAGCTCCGGAAAGGTGTTAGCTAGCTAAAATGGAAAAGCTTGCTAAGCAGGTTCTGATTTGCAGTTTATTAATGGCACTTGTTTTGCTATCATGCCCAATAATAATGTCTCAAGAAGTTGGTAAGAATCCATTTTCTTAGTTGCTTTGTTTTTAATTTGCATGCATGCTTTAGAAAATTAATTAAACCATCGCATGTAAATACTATTTACCAATGAATCCACACACTTTTCTAGGGATTTTTTTTTATCAAATTAAATTTTAGGTCCTATATTAACTATAGAATTTAAGGGTGATATAAATTGAATCTCACATCTTTAATGTCTCATTTCATTTTAATTAAATTGTTAATGTATATTTAAAAATATTGTATTTTATATTTCTAATTTTATATATTGAATCTACTAAGGATTATTTTTTATATTTATATTTATATTTTTTTATATATGATTATGATTATTAATTTTTATTTTTCTAAAAATAATTGTTTCCACTAACCTAGGTCTATAATTTTTATTTATTTATTGTAAAAGTTAACAAATTATGATCACAAATGATGATTTATAATTAGATGGTAATCCTGTAAAACTATTTTGTACTTTAAGTGTATCACGTAATTATATAATAATAAGATTTTTTAAAATGTTAATTCGTTTTTTTGTTGGCAGAGGACGAAAGCGAGTTTAACTATGATGTAAAGAGTGAGATAGGACCATTTAATTGGGGAGACATTAAACCCGAATGGAGTAAATGCAAAAATGGATCCATGCAATCACCGATTGATTTGTTGAATGAGAGGGTTCAAATAGTATCCCATTTGGGAACACTTCAGATGAACTACCGGCCATCCAATGCAACTCTTAAGAATAGGGGTCATGATATCAAGGTTACAGTCAATTTGCAAATATATATTTAATTCATTTTTCACTAAATTATTATGCAATATTCTACTACTAATTTCCTTTTGCCCCTACTAAGTTTGTTTGAATATTTAATTCTTCTTGAATAGCTGGCATGGCTTGCGGGCACAAGCTATCTACAAATCAATGGAACTCAGTATGTACTAAAACAGTTCCATTGGCATTCTCCCTCTGAACACACCATAGATGGCAAAAGGTACATCAATTTGTGATCTATATATCAAAATATCTCTCCACCTTTATATATATATATATAAATATGTAAATGTTTTTCTTATTAACAAATGCAAAGAAGCTCCAATTAATCATCAGGAAGATTTACCCTTGCAGAAACTAAAAACTTAAGTAGTTTAATTGAATATCCAACTGGTTTCAGGTTGGATCTTGAGTTACACATGGTGCACGAAACTCCATCAGGACAAACTGCAGTTATTGGAATGTTGTATAAAGTTGGAACAGTACCAGATCCTTTCTTGGCATTGGTAAATTAAAGATGTCACAGTGTCTTTCATATGAGTGAATTAATATTATATATGCTTAAATTACTTATGTATACTTTGTACATGTTTTCTAGTTGACGAAGCACTTGGTAACCATTTCCAATAGTACGGGAGCAGAAAAAGATGTGGGTGTAATGGATCCTAGACTGGTTAAAATAAGCATTAGCGGAACACAGTATTACAGATACGTGGGTTCATTGACTACCCCTCCGTGCACTGAGGATGTTTCTTGGACCATACTTAGAGAGGTTTGATATATCAATTTAGCAGTATTTGGAATATTTAGGTCATAGTTTGTTTTTTCTTTTCTTCAAGATTTATTATACTCTGATGAACCTTGTGTAATTGATCAGATGAGATCCGTTTCAAGGGAGCAAATCAGATTGCTTCGAGAAGCCGTTCATGATGTAAGTTACTATAGCTTTTCACACGGTCTCACATTACCTGCAACCAATAATTTATTATTTAAATAGAGAGAGAGAGAGTCGTCATTGATAGAGAAATTTGTTTAATTATTTATTATGTCTTTTCATAAATGTTTTTTTTAATAAAAAAAATAAAAGATAGTAGTGATTTTAAAAGTTAATTTAATAATTATAATCGTTATTACTAAAAATGATAACAACTTTCTAAAGAATATTATAGTGAATATAAATAAAAATAATAATTAATATTACATTAAACAACAATTGCTTTTTTTTCTTCAAATATAATACTTAACATGAGATAAAGAGAGTAGAATATATGAAAGTTATGTGATAATTGAAATAGTCAATCACAAAAAAATTTCACATAATTAATTGTTATTCATTTTTATAATAATTATTGTATTAAACCACATCATTATCTTTTAAAGTCTTACCTCTACAGTGAAATCACTTAGAACGTCTGTATTGGAAATGACTTAGTCTCATCTTTGTTTAATTTGCAGGATTCAGGTGTTAATGCAAGACCATTGCAGCCAATAAACAACCGCTTTGTGCTGCTCAATAAGCCGAAAGATCCACGTTAAAGTTTCAAGGCATTGACTTTGACGTGGGCATTTGTAAATGACCAAAATATGATTTGGAATTTTGGTCGATCGGAGAGTGAATTTTAACATGCAGTACTAGGCCTGTATGTGAATGTGATTAATGTTATTCTTTTCTATTTTTGTATTTTATTCCATGTTTTAGGGAGATACATATATTTTCAATTTCAAATTTTCATTTCTTTCATAGATATGTATTAAAATAAATTTTATCAGAGACGTGATTGTTTTTTCATTCCTTTATGTTGAGTATTAACATTATCACTTGTTCAATGTATGGATATATTGTCTTAAAGTTAGACATTTTATTTTATGTATTTTACTCTAAATATATAAGATTAGGCTAATCTAAATCGCGGTCTACATTTAGAAAAATAAAAGGGCGCATCATAAACATTCATGATAATGAAGAGTTCACGTCACTAAACTAATTTTAATTTGCTACAATAGATTTAGATCCCGCTTCACCTATTTTTAAGCACTTTCGAGAGCACCTTATATGTACTTAAGTGAAATAGGTATGTTACTTCCTAACGCTACAGGATTAGCTTTTTTAGGGATCAATACAATATTAAAAAAGAGTTATTTGACCCTCTTTCTAGTTTATTATTTCTTTGGAACCTCTCATAAAGGTAACAATGTCTCTTTTTATCTGCTCTCAAAAACTTGATACTTTTGAGCCTTCATAATTTCACACAGCTTTCCTTATTTCTTCTTTTGAAAAATTCCATATAACACATGAATTTGCTTGTATATCTATTTTCTCTATTCAATTTGAACAAATATCAGTTTTTTCACTCCATTTTCTTAAATAATTATTGAAAATATAACTTTATATTGATCCTTCTTGCTAGACGAGCTTTTAATTAAGAGAGGTTCAAATTCTTTTAAAAAAATTATATATATAATTGTGATATATATATTTTTTTATATTATTTTATATTACTTTTAAACATAAAGTTATTTTATATTACTTTTTAAAATTATAAAATTGTGATATAATTATAATTTTATTTTATTTTAATTATGTATTATATTCTTAAAAGAATAAAATATATTTTTGTTTTCTAGAACTCTTTAATTTTGTTTTACTCTTTAAATTTTTTTGTCATATTTTAGTCTTTCTAATATGGAAATGTAACTTTTTTTTTTTTCAAAATTATTTATATAATGATTTATAATAATTGATAGTATATAAATGAATTGGATAAAAAAATATAATACATCTTTTTAAAATTTATTAACGTTATATTATTTATTTAATATAATAAGATATGCTATTTTTAATTTAATTATTCATCTATTTTATGTTATAAATGCTTATATATAAGAGTTGATTCTAGATGATTATTATCCACTTTTGAAAATCTTTTTCGCTGCTTCTATGATATTTCTTTTGCTTTTTCATTTTTTTATTTTCTTTACCATTTTTTTCCCCGAAACAAGAAAATCTACTTTGTGAATCTTGTTCCTTTTTATCTCATTCCTTTTCTTTGGTATATTTTCATTTCACCCATTTACGCATGAAAAATGCACTACTAGAAAAGTGTTATTTTTTTGCAAATTTTCTTGCAAAAAAATATTCATAGAAAGTTGTTGCGAAATTTCTTGCAAAAAAAATATTTGCAGAAATTTTTTGCGAATTTTCCTGCAAAAAAAATTCGCAGAAATTTTTTGCCAATTTTCCTGCAAAAAATAATTTACAGATATTTCTTACAAATTTTGCTACAATTTTAATAACCATGGAAAAAAAAATTTCATGGTAAAAATTTGCAGAAAATATTGTAAGAATTTTATTTTGTTTCTTGCGGATTTTCTTGCAAAAATAAATTCGCAAGTAATGTTTACTAAATGGTAGAAAAATTTTGTAGGTAACTTTTCTTGCGAATTTTCCTGCAAATTTTAATTCGCAGGAAAAATAAAAAAAATATTTAATTTTAATATTTTAAAAAATCTTCAAGTCCCACATCGATTGAAAATAAAACAACTAAAGAGTATATAAGTTGGGACAACACTTACCTTACAAGTTGAATTGTATGGTTGAGTGTTAGGCTTATAATCTACAATCTTAGAATTTGAAAGATTATGTATGAGACATGAAAATAAAAGATTATGAATTCTTAAAATATATAATTTATAGTAATTTTTTTTAATTATTTCGTAAAAAATATTCTTACAGAATTTCTTGCAAAAAAATTTGCAGGAAAGTTTCCTACGAATTTTTTTTGCAGGGAAATTTTCTGCAAATTTTTTTTTTTGCAAGAAAGTTTCTTGCAAATTTTCCTATGGATTTTTTTTTTTGTAGGAAAATTTCCTGCAAATTTTTTTTTGCAAGAAATTTCGCAGGAAAATTTCCTGCGAATTTTAAAATTCGCAAAAATATATTATCCACGAAGGTATTACCTGTAAATAAAATTTCGCAGAAAAATTTGTAGGAACAACGTGTCCTGCAAGTTTTTATGAAAAATTCGCAGGAAAAGTCGCATGTAATAAGAAAAATTCTAGTAGTGATGGCTTGAGAAGACGGGTAAAGAATTCCAACTTGTTGTGGTTACATGATCTAAATGTAATTGTTTGGTGATGATTGAATCTGAGTTTTGATTCTAGAAATTTCGGAAGCCTATTTATTTCTACCAATGGATCAATTCCTTTCTATGAGGTTTGTTTGTTTTTTTCTTTTTTTCAAAGGATTTGTGTTTATTGATCTCAGTACCTTACTGTTGTGCAATGATTTAGGGAATTTCATCTTCAATTCAAGAAAAGAAAGAAGAATGCAAGAATCGCTTGGATATGTGACTGCTATAGCCTCCAGTCCTTCGGTCCCTCTATTGTGCTATTTTGCAATTTCTGCTCACAGGTTGTTTGTGCAAAATCCTCTTTGAAGACAGTTTTATATTGCTATGATTTATTGTTTTCTTTTTTTATGTAAGCTTCTGTTCACTAATTTATTTATTTGGGTTGATATTGATTTTAATAATAATAATAATAAATGAACATGTTAATTGTATTAACATCAAGTGTGGTGATTCTTGATAGGTCATGAGATCAACCTTTCACCTTTCATAAGAAAGAGAAATCAGAGTATAGTGTGTGCATCTATGTACATTGTGTCTCTTTGTGAAATAGAGAAAATAAGAATTTCATGAGAAATAACAGAGTAACCAATTTGATGAAAAAGTGTTTGGTATCAAATTTTGTGTATTTTGATTCTCTCAATTATTTAGTTAGATAACCATTTGGAGGTTTTCTTATGTTGTTATTCATCATATTGGTGAAAAACTATATTTCTTGTGATCTCTAGTGATTTCAGGAGGACTTGTGATGTACTTATTGATTATTATTAGTGGAATTTTTACTGGATTAGGTCTCGTGAGTTTTTACCTCACATAGAGGGTTTTCCCACGTTAAAATTTGGTGTCCATTGATTTTTATTTTTCTGTTTTGTACATCCTATTGAAATTATCTTATTACTTTCAGAGTCTATTATTATTTATACGGGAGAAAAGGAGATTCAATTTTGATTTCTATTCTTGATGGTTAAGCTTCGTTGTTTTTGCTTTATGATAATTAGGCATTTACATTTGTTGCTTCTGTCTTTTAGGTTGTTAAGCATGTTTGACTTTGTTGTATTATAACTTTTGCTTAATGGTTAAGCTTGTGTCTAGTGTGACTTTTGATCATTCTAGTTTTTGTATATTTTTTAGCCGATGTATTTTTGACATTCATTGTTTTTTACTTTGTTTTGTTATACTTGTATTTTTCATTCCAAATCGAAAGTGTTGTAACACTTCCAACTTGCGGGGGTTATTAATTAATGATAAAAAATTATATAGGAGTTAGTTAGTTAGTAGGATTATTAGTTTTTGTTGTCTTGATGTAATCCTTTTGTAAATATATTTATATTCTCAATAGATTGATTTTTAACTTATTTTATTTTTCTCCCATTTCTCTTCTCTATATCATGTATTCTAATAATTTAAGTGGCATTGAACTTAATCTCTTTAAGTAAGGTATTAAGATAATTAGTTAGATTTTCAAATAAAATAATTATTATTAAAACAAATGAATATTTCATATCAATAATATAATTATTAAAAAATATATAAAGGTTCATATTTATTATTTCGCCTAAAATCTATAAAACGTAAGCAATGACCTTGCCCTCTTCAAACCATTAAGTTCATCATATAACGCACTATCCTTCCTTATGTAAAGAATTTGATTTCTTGCCCTCCTCTTCAACATATTATAAGAAAGAAAAAAAAATTAGCATCCCTTCCGTGAGACATTTTATTCTAAACTAATGTTATCAGAATTAGATTTATCATTGACTTGTTAAAGGATCTGGTTATTAAGTTAATGAGTTACTAGTTAGACCGCATGAATATATAACATGTTTAAGATTTTAAATATAATATATATTATTTGTGATACATTAAATGATAGTTTCAATGGCTTAACATGATAACTCAGACGACTTTACTTACATGTCTGATTCCTTGTCGGACTGATTCAATCAAATAGTTGAAGTTGAGTTTGATAACATTGTTTTAGATTTTTACCACAACATACTACACTTCAAACTTGTCCATCTATGAACTTTTGACATGGCTTCCCTTCTTTTTCTCATTTCTTCCTCCAAATCACGATTCTCCCCTAATATATCCAACTCCTACACCTCCTTTGTTGCATCTCCAATTCACACATCAAATTTTCCACAATGTTGCTTGTGCCAATTTTATAACGCCATTTTTATACCCTTTAATTTTTTTTTAATACAAAATTCCTCTTTACCTCCACAGTTATGCTTCCCGATTTTTGGCAACAAACTCCTTATATATCACCATCTCCCTCCAAACAGTTACGACTCTAAGAGGTTTAGGTTCGCAATTTTGCTCCACTTCCTTCACACTAGTAGCAAAATGTCCAATTAATACCCTCTTTTGAAGATCCCATTGTGATATTCCCCTCCATGAATTTACCATTCTTCAGTCACCAAGAATCTGTAGCCTACTCATTGCTCTTCAACACAATAACACACATCGAACAATTAGAAATGTTTTTTTTAGAGCAACAAGTGATAATATTAATGCTCAACAATCAACATTCAAGGAAAAAAAAAAGTGTCTTATTCAGGTATAGGATGAAAATTGAAAATCTATACATAAATGCATAAAAAAAATTAAAATTGGCAATATATGCCGTAAAACATGATTAGGATTAAAATGACATTCACGTATATATAGAGCTAGTGTGAATGTGAAAATTCACTCTCGTACCAAAAATTCCAAATCATATTCTGCTCATTATTTATGCCCTAGTCAATAGCTTGAAACTTTAATTTTTATCACTCGTCGTATTTTTCGGCTGATTGAGCTCCACCAAACGGTTGTTTAGTGGCTGAGTTGGTCTTGCATTAGCTTTTGAATCCTGCAAATAAACCAAGCTTGTAAATGACTTTTTAAATTTTTCTAGTGTGCAAAATATCGTTTGCGGTTCACCTTTTTTTTAATGTGTAAAAAAACAAAAAAGAATATATATATATATATATATATA